GTGTCAGGTACCAGGGTACTGTTGCATATGCAGGAACTGCGAGCTCTAGTGCCTCCTCCCCTGGTGGCCAAGCAGTCAGTGACAGAGCCCTGCACTGACCTGGCACAAAGCGCACACTCTCTTCCCCCTCCATGCGTGTTTGGCCTCATGGGTGTTGATTATGTACTATTTTGGGTATCTCTTTTTGCTTTATCCTTGTTCTGTGCCCGTTTCCATGTGTCACATAGAGGCAGAAAGACTCCCCTGGACTCACTTCCTTTCACCCCATGCAGGCGGACCAAGGGCTCTGCTTTATTCACACCTTCCTCAGGGCTCCTCAGGCAGCAGACTGAAGTGATGACCAGCAACCTTGGCTCACATACCCTTTCCTGGAGACTGCATGCAAGAGAGGAACTTTCAGCAGTCAGTCTGTCCCCTTTTAGTTCCTGATTTGTGGTTGGAGGCTAGGGCCTTGGAGCCACAGTGGTCAGGGCCTGGGCATCCTCCCTCCAGGCTATGCTGTGGTGCTGTCCTTTCCTTCTAGTCCCCAGCCCCAGGGCTGGCTCTGCCCTGAAGAAAGGCCCCAGGTCCTTGGAGGCTAATCTCTACCTTCCTGTTTCTGGCTAAGGACTTCACTTGGAACAATTCTCAGGAGAGGGCCTTTGTATTCACTTAGGAAGTCCTCCCTTGCAAACTAGTCACCTCAGCAGCTGTGTGTGTGTGTGTGTGTGTGTGTGTGTTTGTGTGCGCGCGCCTGCATGTGATCTGTCCAGGCCCAGCTCAAGGGAATCATGCCTGTAGGTAGTCTCTCTTCTCTGTACCGTTCCTTTTCTTTTCCTTTGTGATGTGATTTTACCCTTCAGCATTTGCACCCCTCCCTACTTCCTTTGTTTTACTTTTTTTTTTTTTTTTTTTTTGAGCCAGGGTTTCCTTTTTAGCCCCAGCTAGCCTGGGACTTACTATATAGCCCAGGCTGGCCTTGACTTCGCAGAGATCCACCTGCCTCTGCCTCCTGAGTGCTGGGATTAAAGGTGTGTGCTGCCACGCCTGGTCTTTATTTTTTTATTTTGATTTATTTTGATTTTATGTGTGTGTTTTGCCTGCATAAGTTTGTAAGTGCACCTGTGTCATGCAATGCCTGTGGAGGCCAGAAGAGGGCATTGGATCATCTTGAACTGAAGTTACAGGTGGTTGTTGGCTACCATGTGGGTGCTGGGAATCCAACCCCAGATCTCTGGAAGAGCAGACAGTGCTCTTAACAGCTGAGCTATCTCTCCAGCCCTATTTATTTATTAAGTTTGCTTATTTCTTTTTTTGAGATAGGGTCTCATATAGCTTAGGCTTACCCAAGTATCTGAGGATGAGCTTGAACTCCTGATCTTCCTGTGTCCACTTCCCAGGTGCTGAGATTATAGCCTTGTGTCACCTGGCTCTATTGTCTCATTTAGGCTGTAGGGGATGGTGGCCTTGAGACTCTCTCCTTACCAGCAGCTGATTCCACCTTGAGGTCACAGACAAGGCTCAGGCCAGTCATGAGCAAACAGTACAGGATTATGGGCGGCCACCATGCAGGAGAGGAATCAGACTGGTGCAAGGACAAGACTGTCCCTTCCCTGCCCCTTAGAGGGACAGACAGGTGGCAGGCAGCACCAGTGCTGAGTGAATGCTGAGTTTGGGAGGGGATCTGTGAGCCAGAGGCTGACAGAGGAAGCAGAGGACCTTCCATTCAAGGAAGAGGCAGGCATATCTGCTCTGGCCTGTGTGTGCTAGTGCTGGCTAATGCTGGCAAGAAACTGGCATTATCTTAGTAGCCTTGGCTGCTTCAGCTGGGATGGGGCAGGGGGCGGGGGCGCTCATTAGTAATGGCTGGGTTAATGAGTGCTGTGATAGAGACAGGCCTGAGAGCAGTGGGGCCCCGCTGAGGCATGGAGGGGGGCATGGCAGAGCATATTTATCCTCTCTGGCCTATGTGTCCCTGTCGTCCGTCTGCCCCCACCCCCACCCCCACCCCCAGTGCAGGGTCTTTTCCTGGAGTGCTTCACCTCCCCTCTCTTGCTTATACTCAGACTTCTCCCTAGGTCACTTAGACTCCTCTTTGCTTGGAAGGCCACTCTGCTCACTCACCTCCGGGCCAGGGCATGATGCCCTGTGGCAGGCTGAACTGTTCAGCCAAAGGACCCACAAACCTTGAGCTTGTTCCTTCCTGTCCCCTGCCCTTCTGTGTGTCCTGCTGCAACCCAGGCCTTCCTGTGCCTTCTTCTCTCACCTCTCCAGGCATCTGATTGACAAGGCTCCTCCTTCCTAAAGGCCCCATTCTTGCCCCAGAACCACCAGGAGGCCCTGATGTCTCCCAGACCCAATTGGCCACCATGTCTCTGGTTCATGTCTTTGGAGATAGAAGCTCATTGTGGTGCCCGTCTTATCTAAAAGGAGAATCTGTGCCTGTCATCCCTCTGCCTCTGAGCCTCCATAGGCTTCTCAGTCCTACCTGTCCAGCCTGTCCCCGGGCTGTCACTGTGGCCCACACAGCAGTCTGACAGGTCAAGATCTCAGAGACATGTCCCCAGGGTGCCTTGTATTTATTTCTCTCTATGTCCTTTGTCACAGTGTCTGAGATGTATTGTCCTGAGTCTCTGTCCCTCATCATAAGTCAGTCCACCTTTGTATTCCCAATGCCTGCCCTACAGAAGATGCCAACTAATTGTTTAATCAATGTCTGCACCCTGTGCTTTCCTCTTCCTCTTCCAGAGAATTCCTCTTCATCTTTCAAGACCCCAGTCCAGTGACTTCTCTCCAGAGCGCTTGGCAGATAGTCCCAACCCTGTATTTTTCCAGAGCTGTGTCACCTGCATGCTTTGTCACCTGTTGCCTTGGGTTAAAGCCCTAGGTCATCTCTTCCCTTGCTTCTGTGTTTCTGGGGGCTTGGGAAGGGGGAGGCAGCACACGGCACAGTCTGATCTGTAGTTGGCATTCTGGAATCCTTGTGGCTCATTATGGAATCTCATCTGTGCTGATTGCTATGTGCAGGGAGATTTCCTCAGCCATTTGGTCATCTCTGGCAGAGAGGCTCCTTGTGTTAGCCCTGCTTCTGAGTCTCCACTGCCTGAGCTTGGCGTGGCCTGTGAGGTCCTTCAGCAGCTTGATAATCTTCTTGAGTTCAGGTAGTGGTCTGTGTAAGGCTGTGGGGCCCTTGGTAGTTTGGGAGGCACCTTGACCCTTTTCATTTTGAATTAGCCATATAATTTATGAGGTGCAGTGTAGGTGCAATTTATTTTTTAAATTATTACAAATTTCAAGGTGGAACTATAGGGGCATTGAAGGTCAATGGTAGAGTTGGCTTAGCACCCATGAGGCCCTGGGTTTGATCCCTAACACACACACACACACACACACACACACACACACACACACACACACACATGCACACACACACACAGACACAGACACACACACACTTGGTTAAGAACACTCACTGGTTGTTCTTGCAGAAGACCTGGGCTCGAATCCCAGCACCCACATGGCAGCTAACAATTGTCCATAACTCCAGTTCCAGGGGATTCGACAGCGTCTCTGTCCTCCATGGGAATTGCACAACACGGGTGCACTTACCTACATGCAGGCAATACACGTATACACATAAAATAAAAATAACAAAAAAAATTTTTAAGTTAAAGAAAATAAGAATTTTGGTGGGGCATTGTGACGCACACCTTTAATCCCAGCACTCAGGAAGCAGAGGCAGGCAGTGGGAGGGTGGGAGGGAGGGGAATGGGTAAGGGGGAGAGAGGCAGGCAATAAGCCCTTGCCATTGTGCAGCCCCCAGCCCATGTAGCTACCCGAGGCAGAGGCTCGGGCTCCTTCTTACCTGTAGTGAAATGAAGTGCACAGGACTATGACTAGCCTTGGGCTACACAGCCTGTCAGTGACAACTGACTGAAAACAGAATCTAGCCCCTGGAGTAGGCACACTGTCTGACACTGGGCCAGGCCAAGGCATCATGCACCTCAGTTCCCTTCTCTGTAGACTAGGGCTGTTGGCCTGATTATAGCAAAGCAGATCATTGCTGGGCAGCTCTTCCCTTCTGATACATTCACTTAAAGCCACAAACACAAAGTTCTCTTCTCTTCCTTGAAGGTCCTGAGCCCTGTGGACAGGAAGGATAATTAGTGACCATGGTAGTTGAAGAAATGAAAGTCCCTCAGAAGTAGGAGGAGGTTCCCTTTTCATGTCTTTTTGAAGGAATGTGGAGACTTGGGTGGAAAGTTCCCCAGGGTTCCTTGGTATTTCAGCACTTTGATATCTGGAGGAAGAAGAGAGCAATTAATTGCTATAAATGGCTTGTTCCTATAGGGTTCCTTTGGTGGTGGGGTGATGGTGAGGCCATCCGTCCCACGCCAGCCCCTCGATGAAGGGACCCACACAACAGACTTAGAGGCTCAAAGCAGTGCCTGACTTGAGGGGAAGCTGTTGAAATCCCACTGTGTGGGGCTGGAGTACAAGTTCAGTGGATAAGAGTGTGTCTGAGCTCATTGAAGTTTGCACAGACAGCTTCAGGTTGTCCGCTGTGCACTTAGATGGACATACTTGACCCACACAGAAGGCAGAGTATGAGGGACGAGGCTCTGTGCCTAAGGTGTTTGGTGGGTGGGAAGTCATCTCGTGCAGATTCAGGGGCTTGCCCATCAGCTGTCACAGTGAGTCATTCAGGTCTAGTGTCTCTGGAATGAGGTGACTAGCCCAGGGGAGGAGGTGTGTGCTGTGTGGAGCAGGCAAGCCTGGTGCACAGTCAGCACCCTGTCTCAGAGATGTTGGAGCAGGTTCCCTGGGCTTACTTGACACACAGGTATTTCTGGACTGTGACAAAATCTGTGGTCACAGGCTTCCTGCCAGCGGTCCTGTTCTCTCGGCATGGGGTGGCGTGGGGTGTGTGCACCAGGTCCCACTGGGAGCCATTGGGCCTCCTGGCTCCTCCCATGACCGTGTTCTGTGTTTCTACAGGGCGGCACCTTCCTATTTCTCCCTGACTGCAGCCTCCCCTTACAGTTGAGCATCTGTTTGCCTGAAGTTAATTTCCAGAAGCAGGTAAGGATCTGAGGGGAAGGCCTTGTGGTGTGGCCATGGGATAGTGCTGTGGGGGTGGGGGTGGTCTTGAGACCAGGCTGGATAAACATCAAGTTAGCCCTTCTCACTACCTTTCTCCACGGTCCTTCAAGATGCTCATCTCTTCCAATATGGGAGTTATTTTTCTTTCTTATCTTTTTTTTGTTTCTACAATGTAGGAATTTAGTATTGTGTGTGTGTGCGCACACACGCATAATACATATATATGAGGGCTGTGTATGTGACTTGCTGAATATGTGGAGTTGGTTCTCTCCTTCTACCCTTACGTGGATTCTGGGGATTGAATTTGGGTCACCAGGCTTTACCCAAGGTAGAGGGTCTCATTTTATAACCCAGGCTAACTTGAGACTCACCATAGCCCAGGGTAGCCTCGAGCTATAGGGAAGCCTCCATGCTCATCTCCGTGATGTGTGGTTTTTGTTTTGTTTTGTTTTAATACTTTGATTATTATTTTCATTTTGTGTGTATGAGTGGATTAGATGTATGTAGATAGGTGCACCCATTTTGTGCAATGTCCACAGAAGTCAGAAGAGGGTGTCGGATTCCCTGGAACTGGAGTTATAGACAGTTGTTAGCTGTCATGTGGGTCCTGGAAACTGAATTCAGGTCCTCTGCAAGAGCAGCAAATGCTCTTAACCATTAAGCCATTTCTTCAGCCCCATTGGTTTGGTTTTTTGACATAGAGTCTTATATAGCTCTGGCTAGCCCAGAACTTACTATGTAGACCAGGCTGACTTCAAACTGTGACATCTCCTGCTTCTGCTTCCCAAGTGCAGGGATTGCAGGTGTGAACCATCACATCTGGCTTCCCATTTAATGTGTTTTAAAATGTGCAAAATGGAGCCAGGCGTGGTGGCACACACCCGTAGTCCCAGCACTTGGGAGGCAGAGGCAGGTGGATCTCTGTGAGTTCAAGGCCAGCCTGGTCTACATAGTGAGTTCCAGGACAGCTGGGGCTACAGGGAGACCCTGTCTCAAAAAGACAAAAAAAAAAAATGTGCAAAATGAAAGACAAATGCTACAACCTTGAGATCAGAGGTCCTGAGGAACACCCCCGCTTCCCCCCATGTCATGGTCCAGCCTGAGCTTATTTGCTATTTTTCTGGCAGATGGAAGACCCCAGTGGGTAGAAACTGACATTTTATGTTTATAAATGTGTGTATCCAGAATTAGCTTCAGGTTTATAAATAAAATGGGTGCCAAGTGGCTCTGTCTGCATTCAGGGTCACTCTCTCCAGTCAAAGGGAGACCAGCTTTTCAAGCTCCTTATCAGCATTGGTTGCATTTCACAGGTGGAGACCCACAAGGGCAGCCTGGCCTCCCAGCCTCTGACCACTGCATGTCTCGTTCTTGGCTTGTCTGCCTGCAGTCTCTCCTGATCCTCCTAGAGATCACAGGTTGGTCCGTGTCAGGTCCATGCAGAGGCTGGGTGGAAGTGAGGCCTCGGTGTCCCTGACATCTTCCCGAGACTGCAGCACACATCTCAGGCCGAGCCCCATGCTCCCTCCCTGCATGGATTTTTCACAGTGGTTGGGAGCCACTTTTCAATGTCCTTTTCTGACCAGCCAAGTTTTCTGCAACAGAAAGGCAGGCTCAGAATCACCAACTCTGGGGTGTGTGTGTGTGTGTGTGTGTGTGTGTGTGTGTGTGTGTGTGTGTGGTGGGAGTCTGAGTACATGCTTTGGTAAATATATTGAATGTATGAGTCTTCATATTTGTATTTGCTCCATCAGATGGACTTCTCTGGCATGGCACCCGTGTTATTCATAACGTGGTTTATTACCACACAATGCATGTTATACGTAACATGTGGCCTAGTACCACATAGCATGCAACCGCAGACCTCCCCATTGATTTACATAACTGACAGCTACCTGATGTTTCTTCCCATTTTCCTGTTTCTGGCTTACCTCTGACCAGGTGACTAACACTGAGGAACAGGGAAGCACTGCCCTGTCTTTAGGGAAGGGAGATGTGTGGAGAGAGCCGTTGCCGTTTCTGAGATGCATCATTGCTTTGATTCTTAGATTTAAGATTAGATGAATAATTAGTGTCTAAATTAATTGCAGTTTGAGCTTATGTAATTTAAGCTCATTTAATGGGGCCCAGTTCTCTACAGGGGGAAATGGGAATTCTCCAGTGAGGTTAATGCAGTGCTTGACAGAATTGTGATGAAAATTTAATAACTTCACTTAGATAGGCAGTGAACCCAAACATACTATAATATGCTGGAGGCACACCAGCAGCCATTTGTCTGTGTTGTTTGGTATGATTATGATTTATTCTCTTCAATTATTAATTTCGTCACATTGACACCCTTACTGTGGATTAGGACAGAGTCATATCAATCAGCCAAGATGTTTTCTAGAGCATTTGGCCCGGAGTGTGAAAGGCAGGGCCCTATGCTCCACATTCTGCCCCAGATCCAGCCCTGGGTGTTCCTTTCTGTCAGGCAATAGGGCAGAGTCAGCTCAAAGCAGAGCTTTAAAAACACTAGAGCTAATGAGATGGCTCAGCAGCTTCTGGTACTTGCCACCAAGTCTTACAACCTGAGTTCAGTCTCTAGGACCACAAGGTAAAAGGAGAGAACCAACTCCCACAAGTTAAATAAATACACAAATAAATATAAAAAAATACTGGATGATGAGAATTTTTTAGAAATGCCAGATCAGGGGCTGGAGAGATGGTGCAGCTGTTAAAGGCTAAAAACAAACAAACAAAAAAAACCCCAAAAACAAAAACATGAAAGATTTGGTTTCCAGAAATGCCAGCTCAGGAATTTGCTGAAGCTTAGGAAACAGCCTGTGCTAGGCAAGTGTGTTGAAGTGAGAGTAACCTGGCACCAGAGGTCCAGTGGAGCCATACAAATGTGACTCCCAGAAATCACAGCATAAGGCGGCCCCAGTGACATCAAGGTCGCAGCAGCCAAGAGGAGGAGGTGACACCAGCTTCTGGGGTGTGAAAGAGCCAGGTTGTTTGTAGACAGAGTTCTGAAAGGTAGGCCCCATGTTAACTGACTGCAAGATACAGATCAGGTGTTTCTCCAGTGAGTACCTACTGCTTCTTTTAAAAAGGAGAGGGGTCCTAGGGATGTGACAGTCCTAACCAGATCATGTGCAGTTCTGATTCACAGATGGTTCATCTGCTCTCTGAAGGAATCAAGGAATCACTCTGTCTTCCCCATGACCTAGGGTGGTTGGAGTGTGGTTTGTGAGAGTGAGTTTGGAATAAGGCAGCCCTAGAAGGACTATGTGAGGATTCCAGGTGGTTAAGAGATCAGCAGCCTGGAAGGACCCTTTGTGTGTGGCGGCACCTAGTGGCCGGTCCCTTGTAACCCATGTGCCTTTCACTAAGGGAGGGCAGACTGAAAACCCCTGGGCACAGGACAGAATTGGAAGAGTTTTGCTTATGAGACCGCTGACTCCCAGTTCGAGGGCTTCCTGGAACACTTCCGACGTCCCCCGGAGGGCACATTGGCCCAGAGCACACTGGGTACTTTGGATGTGAGAGTCCTCTGGGAAAGCTAAAGTTGGTTGTGGGACACAGGGTTAGTACTTCAGTCTCTTAACACAATGACATTTGGTTCTAAATCGGTGGGGGGGGGGCGGAGCTCGGATACTGAAGATGGCTTCCTGATTCCATTCAGCTAGTGGCAGGACTTATTAAGTGCCTGCTGTATGCCAAAGTCCCGGAGGACCGAGGCAAGCAAAGCAGACTTAGCCCTGGACGTCCAGCAGGCCAGGGAAGAGACAGTAAGCCGATGCTCCAACAGGACACTCAGAAAATTAGGACAGTGAGACAGGGCTACGTGACCAGGAGGGACGGGGGTGGAGCACAGGACTGGCTCCTGCCTCACTGTCAGATGCTTCCATGGAAAGGTGTCTTTAGGCTGGGATGAGGCTAGTTGCAGGCCAAGGGGATATGCAGCGCAGAGACTGCCCAGCAAGGTGGGCTGCAGCAGGGACAGGGCTGTGCTGTCCCAGGCCTTGCAGGGAAACGGCCAGAACTGTGCAGTATATTCTCAGGTAGCATCAGGCAGGGGTGGGGCCAGCCCTGATCTATTTATTCTAGTCACTCTGTAGGGGAAAGGACAGTGGAAGAGATGAGGGAATCATGAGGCCGTGACCACAGGGTAGTTCAGATGGAAGCCTCAGGGAAAAGATGTAGGCCACACCCTCCATGCTCATGACCCAGGGCAGAGCTCACACCATGAGGCCATGTGAGGCCCTTCCGCAGAAGGCATGAACTGGAGGGAGAATGGATCAATCTCAGCAGTGCTACTGCAAAACCTTCCTTTCCTGCTCAGCTCTGCGGGAAGTGCAGGCTGTCCTCGGGCTGGCATGCATCCAGGAGCCTGTGTTCTAGGCCCCTGTGCCTTACCCCAGCCGTGAGTTGGTTCTTAAGCCGATTTCTGAGCCCTTTTCTGAGGAGGAGTTGGAAGGGAGCAGAACACAGAGGAAAGGAATCTGGACTCTGGGCCTTCAAGGGTGGTTACAAAGGCTCTGGAAGAAGTCCTCTGGAAGAAGAAGTCTTGTGCTATGTCTAGCGTACAGATGTGACATCAGCCCCAGCTGGGCAAGTTTTTAGCCTCTTGTGTGGGCTTTTAGGGCGAGGGCTCCATTAGCCTTTAGGCAGATGAGCAGATGACAAGTACCTGCTGGGAGCTGCTGCCCAGGCCCTGGCACATACCTGGATACCCCCTTGGCATGGAGTGTTGCCCTGTCCAGGAGATCCCCTGTCCAGGGCTCATGGGCCACTGAGGGTGGATGGTATGAGGAGTGTCTTTAGCCTGCCAGCCCGGTTCCCCTGTTCCCCGAGCGCAGCTCCTTGGCACCAGGGCTGCTGAGGCTCCACCCCACCAGCTGCTGCGTTATTTCTGACTTGTCCAGGAGTTCAAGTGTGTAACCCAAGCCCCTATATCCCTGCCTCCTCCTCCCACTCCTGGAGGAGGAGGCTCCAGGCTTCTCTCTCTGGGGCTGGCCACAGACCCGAGACACCTGGACACAGCCGCTGGCCTTCGCAGCTGTCTACAGGAGCCGCCCTCCAACAGGTGGGGTGGGTTTGTGAGGGTGGCACTGGCAGCCTTACTGGTGCCTCTACTCCATAGCACTGGTCCAGCCTCTCCCTGTCGAGGGACTCCTTGGAGCCTAGCCCTGGAGTTGGCCTCTTGAACTCAGCAGGGGCTTTTGCACAGGGTGCTGTCGCTGTGTCTGGAGGCTGGCACTGATCTCATGGATTCCCCAACCAACTGCCTCTGATAGGTCAGTTTTACTTCTTGCACCCATTGCTTGTGTTGAAGACGAAGAACTCTTGGAGCTTCATGCCCCACAGCTCCTGTGGCTCATCGCAGGAACCAGTCCCCTACAGCCTCTGCTCCGGAATAAGAACTACTCCATCAGGCTGGTTGGGCCTCAGGTCAGGGGAGGTACTGAGCAACTCCCCACCCCCTCCATGTCCTCTTCTGTGCTGTCAGAAATGAGGTCCCTTTTGGGCAGGGCCTACTCGAGAGAAAGATGTCAGAAAGGTGTCACCTACAGATGTCATTATTTGAGCGTGTTGTACCTTGAGCTTCTACCCATGGTACCTCTCCTTCCCTTTCAGGAATCCCCAAAGCTGGGCTGGGGGGATGAACCGCGAGGGAGCACCCGGGAAGAGTCCGGAGGAGATGTACATTCAGCAGAAGGTCCGCGTGCTGCTCATGCTGAGGAAGATGGGGTCAAATGTGAGTAACTGAAGGGTGTCAGGCAGTAGTGTACCTGCTACCTGAAGGAGGGTGGGGCGACTACAGTTACCTCCTGAGTCTCTAGGATGTGGGGAGAGGGCTGCTGGGCCAATAGATTATCTCTGTTGCCAGTTCAGACTCCCTAGGTGCAGAGCCCAGCATGTCCGGTTTTGGAGGCACTGCTGGAGCAGTCTTCCCACTCCACTGCTGAGTTTGGACCAGGAAAGAGGGAGTGGGATTTAACCTTCCTTTCTTTCCCCAATGACCACCAAGAGACTTCTCTCCCAGGGGGCAGGCAAGGGGCAGCTGGGCAGGATGGACGTTGCAGAGGGCAGCAGACACAGGGGCATCTTTTGAAAAGAAAGGAAGAGATTTGGAATTACCCATCAGCCATTAGACACCGATCTCAGACTCAAACTGAGTGGCAAGGCCCCAGTTTTCGGGGTGAGAGTCAGGTGTGGTTACTATGGAACCAAAGGGGTCAGATATCAGGAATAGAGGGCCAGGAACAGGGCACTAGTGGGATCAGGCAGGCCTGGGCGAGGGCCTTTTAGGGAACAGGTGTGTGCCACTCCTCACCTCAGTGCTCTTATCCTGTAGCTGACCGCCAGCGAGGAAGAGTTCCTGCGCACCTATGCGGGGGTAGTCAGCAGCCAGCTCAGCCAGCTGCCACAGCACTCCATCGACCAGGGTAAGTCAAGGGCCAGGCACCAGCCAAGCCCTTCCCAGAAGCACCACACAGTGGTTCTTTGCAAAGCTGAATGGGTGAACCAGGAATTTAGGGAAGAAGAGAGAGGCTGCTGTCCTCTCTTGTCCCCAGGCAGCCTTCTGTCTGGTCCCATCTCCTCCCTCAAGTGGGAGCCAAGGATCCAATAAAGTAGATGGTTGATCCATTTTTAGGCCTGGAAAGGGTGAGAAATAGAGGTGTCTGGGCAGGGGGGCTTGTCCATGTAACTTCAGAGGGTCTGGTTACTGCGTTTATTTAACTTTCACCCTGCCCACCCCTCTTTGTCCAGGGTCACTGAAGCTGCTCAGTGTTCTAGCACGGCGCTGTCCCTGTGGGGCACAGCCAAACAGTGGCTGGTGTGGTTCTGGCAGCGGACAGGATGGGATGGATGGCTGAGGCTCTAGATGTCTCTGTGCCTGAGGGAGTTCTGCCCTCCTCATAGGAATGAATCCCCCTTCACTTATTTCACAACAGAGGCTGTGCCCAGTGACCGAAACATCCTCTAACTGTAGACAACTGTTGTTTGCATTATTTCTAGTTATCAGGCAGTGATTGGAAGGAGTAATCATTGCCCTTGACCATACAGAGGGGTCCAGGGTCAAACCTGCAACCAAACTCTAGAGCAGCTCCTCACTGTCTCCTTACTTTACTAACTTGGCTGCTTATGAAGGCTCTCCTTGGCCTCTCTGACACTAGCCTGGCATTCTGAGCAGCATTGCCACACGGTCCTTTCCTGTCATTCTCTTCATGTGTTGTTGGGATTATTTGCCACAGATATTTTAGTGGCCCATCATGTGTCCAAGCAGGGGTGCCACTGTTTGCTGGGTTGGGAGGCTGCTGCGGAGGACAGCAGGTCTGGCATACCAGGCTGCCACCCTGGTTATCTGCAGATCTTGTGCTCCGCCCTGGTATAAGGGCTGATTCCCAAGCGCTGATGCTGACTATGGCCCAGCCAGCTCAGCCCAAATCTTCCAGGAAACATCTGGTAGCTCAGATAGTGACTTGGGATGGTGTACCTCATGCGCAGCCTGCCCAGGCATGCCTGTAAAGCGTGCTGCATGCTCACCAGTGCCACAGCCAAATATGTGCAGCCTACCCTGCCCTCCCACTGTCTCGTAGTGGAAGTCCTTTCTCTATTTCTGGTCTGGGTTTGTCTCTCCTGGCTCCCAGGCCAGGTCTACCTGAAAACCTAAGACTCGTGGATCCTAGGAGCTTACCTTTCTCCTCACATGATCATAAGTCACTGAGTTCTTAAGCCTCAGTGTGAGTGTCCTAGTGGAGTGCTCTTAATGCAAAGAGTCAAAAGAAGCTGGAGGACCATCAGAACACGCAGCATCCACCACATCCCCATTTACATTACTGCGTGTTATGTATATAGAAAAGAAAAGCTGGTGGGCTACACACATACATAGAAAATGTGTGGTATTGAGGCTGGGTCCCAGGGCCTTGTGCGTGCTAAGCTGCAGTCTACCACTGATCTGTACCCCTTTGTAGAAAATGCAGGTAAGTATAGGATTGCAGAAAGGGCTTTTACTCTCCAAGTTGTGGTGTTTTGTGTAGAACTAATTTTTTGACATTGTCCATATACTCTTTTGTAATAAAATTGTTTTGTGGTGCTGGGGATGAAACCCAGGACCTTGAACTTGCTAGGCAAGCACTCTACCCTCAAACTGTGTTCTAGCTTGGTTTCTGTTGCTATAATAAAACACTGACCAAAACTGAGTTGGGGAGGAAAGGGTTTATTTGGCTTACAGGTTATAGTCCACATTCAAGGGAAGCCAAGGCAGGGTTTCAAGCAGGAACCTGAGGGAAGGAACTGAAACAGAGACCATGGAGGAATGCTGGTTACTGGCTTGCTTCCCCTGGCCTGTGCTCAGCTTACTTTCTATATACCCCAGGACCACCTAGTCCTTCTCACAGTGGGCTGGACCCTCCCACATCAATGAGCAGTTAAAATGCCTCATAGACAAGGCCAGCCCAATGGAGGAAATTCTTCAATTGGGGTTTCATCTTCCCAGATGTGTTTACAGTTGAAGCTAATCGGCACAAGTTATATCACAGCCCTTATAAAGTTACACGAGGGCTGGAGAGATGGCTCAGCGGTGTAGAGCACTGACTGCTCTTGCAGAGGACCCCGGGGTCGATTCCTAGCACCCACATGACAGTTAAGAGCCATCCTTAACCCCAGTTCCAGGGGAATCCAGGGCCCTCTTCTCACCTCTGCAGCATTGCCTGATACAGGTGCACTCACATACATGCAGGCAATACACTCATACACATGGAATAAAAATAATAAATAAAATTTTTTTTTTAAGTTACATTGAGCCGGGCGTGGTGGCGCATGCCTTTAATCCCAGCACTTGGGAGGCAGAGGCAGGCGGATCTCTGTGAGTTCAAGGCCAGCCTGGTCTACATAGCGAGTTCCAGGACAGCTGGGGCTACAGG